TATGGTAATGGGTTAAGGGTACTTTGAAATTTCTAGTATGGAAATGGGTCAAAAAGGGGCTTATTTTTTCAAAAAATTTGACCTTTTACTGACATCAGAAAAATCATTATTGAATTATTGTCCTGAAAAAAAACTTTTGGTACAAGGTCATCTTCAGTTTGGTGTAAACCATACTCTTGGTTTATCTTAACATTATTTCACGCTGAATTCTGCTGATCATTTGTCCTCTCTCTGTCACGTGATGTTGTAGCCATGGTAATCTGTCCATGGTGAGTCCTGTCCCTTCCCCTCTCAGTGACATCTGTGTTGTCTCCTACCCAGTTGAGGTGCTTTGTCACATGTCAATTTGTGGCTTTCTTTGGAAGTTCATGTTTATCTGTCTTACAAGAGCAAGGTGCTGTCTGTCATTCAAGACTGAAAGAAACCCTAATAATGACATGCGCCATCATAACTGAGATAATCATACGATCGTTGATCCTTCTACGGTACGTCTCCTTGAATTTTCAAACGTCTATGGTGTACTGCTAGCTACTTAGCGCCTGGGGTTGATTTTAAAAAAAACTATTTTGTGAGGATGGATCAGGGGTTTATGTAAAAGCATCAGCTGTGCATACTTGCAGACTGACTGTGCCCACTGCCCAGAGCAACAACCAAAGCATGAACAATTTATGTTATTCTTGGGCTGTTTCTGCACGACCAATACTTGACTGTCCTAATCGGTCTGACACCCTGTGCAGCCTGCCCCGGTGTGTCAACAATAGCCGGCTAAGGCCTGGCCAGGCAGGGGTCTAATGTTAGCTGACTGCCATGGCTTTGTGTTGTCTGTACCCCCCATCTTTCTCTCCACTGACGCTTGGCAGGTGAACCATACAGACTCAAATTCATAATTGTTCAGATTCGTAATTGTTTGGCAGTTCAGTCCCTTCTGTACCCTGAGATCTAGGTTTTATTGTGTTTTTCAGAGAGCAAAATGATACATTTTCTTGTTTGCTTTCTATCGATGTCATGGGGTAGTTCAGTCAAAGGGCGGTTGTTCTGTATAGCTACACTTCAAGGATAGTCTGTCCATATCTATACACTGCTGCACTTTGAGCCTCTATCGCAGGGATCGGCAACAGGCGACCAGTGGGCCAAAACCTTTCTTTTAGTTTTTGGTCCAAAAAAACTGTACAATCACCAGGAATTCAGCAAATATGTGTTTTAATTAGGAAAACTATTCCCACGAATAAAACCCCCACACACGTGATCATGTCTCAATGTAATCAAGGTATGATTTTTGGGCTTAGTTGTGGTCAGTTTGCAGTGTACAAATTATTATAATTATGTTTCCGGCCCCCGACCCATCCGCTCCGACAATGCCACCGCCGCACCTCCACATACAAGTATTATTTCGTTTCTCCTTCATTGTGGTCATTGGGGACCCCTTTTTCTGATGGATTAGGCCTACAATCTCTACAGGTCATATTATTTGACATTTGATCATTTCTGATCTGGATTGTGGATCTTGTGAGAATCAAAAATGGCTATATTGTGATGTGAAAATGTTGTCTCACTAAACCGTCCAGGGGAAATAGCAGGCAGTATAGACTAGACATGAGCTTATGTTAAATATGGAAGCAATGTCAACAAGAGGTCAGTTCTAATTAGCAATTCAATCATTTCTTTTTAATTATACATTCTACTGCTGGGAGTGGAGCTGAGGCATGTGCAAATAAGGTGGTTTCTACTAAAGAGTGTTAGCATGGTCCCAGATCTGTCATATGGTCACAATGACCATAGGAGTTGGCAAGACAGCACAAACAGATCTGGGACCAGGCTAGAACGAGTTAGTCTGTCTGACTCATAAGATCTTGCTTTGACTGACATCCCTGTATTAGAACTCAGAGCACCGTGGACCAGGACCAGCCAGTCTGTTTTGCTGCAGCAGTAGCCTATGAAGGGGGGCTGGCTATATGCCGAGGAATTTTTGCCCAGGCAGCTGTACAGTGGGAGGAATCCGACTGTTGACACCTAACACCCTCTCTCCTCTCATAGGAGACTAGTAGAGCTGTCTGGACATAGCATAGTAGCACAGCATAGCACCCCTTTGGAAATATAGACAGCCTAACACACCTGGCGCAGTCCTGCTATGACAGAGACCAGCCCTACTCATTGAGTACTCAGTCTTTTCTTTTATTCTATAGAAGGTCTTTATTGGTTGTTCTTAAGCATGTTGATTGTTCTTATGTCCATACATGGATTACGTCACAGCAAAAGTTTTCCATGGCTTTTGTGTGCCGGACAAGTTATATACACATATTCTTCCTAGGCTGATGATAACAAATATCATTCGTACTGGACATTTTGTTGACACTGGCGCATATTCTTTTTGGAAATCTTTTCAGAACAACAACTGTTTCTTGTTTCCGCACAATGGGTGGATCCCTGAACCGTGGCTCTTTCCTCAAATTTCTTGCCTTGTGACTTTATTTTCCTCCTAATTCTGGAATGAGATTCATTTACAGCAAAAGTGAGCCTGATAAAATCTCAACAACCTGCCTTGTCTCTAAACAAGGACTTCCAGCAAGCAATACCTAAAGATATCGTTTGACTTGCAATATAGTATTCAGTTCGGCTAGGATACTAACAGTTCATATCCAACTTTCCTGCCCTTAGTAATGGAGTAAAATCTTCTCCTTGGAAAATTGGATATTTTGAAAGGCTTTCAGTAAGAAACCATATTACATAATCTGTGATTAGCATTTAAAACTAAGTCCCCTCATTATTTTCTGTTTGCACTGTATTATCTCAAATGTGTTAAGTGGGCTTCCACATTTTAATCTGGATTATGTTTGAGAACAGTTGACTAATTTGCCACACATACCCATTTTAGAAAATGTCCAAAGATAATTTTCTCCCATTTCCCAAATTCAGTTGGAGCACAACATATTTTGTAAAGAAAGAATGGCACAAAAAAACTGGTGAGAAAATACTGGAGCCAAATAGTTAAGTAAGATAACACATTTTAGTCTACGCTCTTATCCAGAGCGACTTAAAGGAGCAATGAGGGTTAAGTGCCTTGCTCAAGGACATATCGAAAGGTTTTTCACCTAGTCGACTCAGGGATTCGAACCAGCGACCTTTTGGTTACTGGCCCAACACTCTTACCTGCCGCCTTATGACATTGCAAAGAAAATGCAAAACAGTTGCAGGAAATGATGGACACAATAATGTTGTCAGTTTCTCAACTACCCTTTCTCTGTGTGAGGATGAGTGCACTACATCGTCTTATAACTGTCATGATATCTTTCCTTGATTTATGATGATGTTAACGCATGATCAGCCATAACTAAATCATGAGATACTGACACTGTACAAGGTTGTTGTATGTATGTCAGTGCCATATACTGTATGGAGATACTGCATGAAAGGTATGTAATTCACCTCCACATGCTAGTTTCTCTAGCTACTCCTCTTAATCCTCTCACTGACCACATACAGTACAAGCCAATGTGATGTCCCAGGCCAGCTTTAAACATCTGGGTTAGGCTGCAGAGATCCAAAACATCTGGACTGATGACCAAGTTGTATTACTGCATCCCAGCAAGCTGCCGTGGCCTCACTCTGACCACAGATTATTCCTAGTGTAACCAGATCGTGTGTGTGCGTGTGTATTTGTGTTTTTTCCCTTCCAGCAGCTGTTTGATTCAGATACCATTGTTTTGCTCAGAGTGCTATGAGTGCCTGAACATCACATAGATTCAACAATCTTCTGTGACTTTGACATTAATACCATTAATATGTACTAGCCGGTGTTTTGTGTGGGCGCGGGTGAGCGTGTTCTTCGATGATTGCCATGGTAACAAATTGCCGCATTCGGCCTGTTGTGTTGACATCAGGTTCTGTGGAATCCTTACTGTAAACAATGGAAGTATCGGTAATTTACACGCCACTCATAGTAATGTGGGGAAATCATTTGATTTGATTTGATTATATTCAACATTCCTTCTTGTGCAATGAAAAAATTACAT